AGGCAAATCTATGGAGACAGAAAGTAGATTAGCAGTTGAGTAATCTATGGGAAGGTGACAGCAGCCGGGACCGGTTTGGTTCAGTGGATAGAGCATCGGCCTGCAGACTGAAAGGTCCCGGGTTCGATTCTGGTTAAGGGCAAGTACCTTGGTTGCAGGCACATCCCCAGTGGGGGGTATGCAAGAGGCAGCTGGTCGGTGTTTCTCTCTCATCGATGTTTCTAACTCTCTGTCCCTCTCAATTCCTCTCTGTGTAAAACCAATAAAATATATATTTTTTTTAAAAAGTGACAGCAAATAGGTACTAAGGGTCTTCATAGAATGATAGAAATGTTCTAAATTTGGATTGTGATGATGGTTGCACAACTATGTGAAATTTACTAAAAATCATTGTGTTCTACTCTAAAAACAGGTGGATTTTATAGTATGAAAATATACCTCAATAAAACAACTAATGATCATAATCAGTGGTAGTACTCATTGTTTGAGATGAATAAAAACCCAGTTTCTGTCCAGATAGAAACTATTTTACTGCTTTAGCTTTCAAAATCAATATGACAAGCTCTCATATTTTTGGTTCTCCTAAAGTGTCTGGGGCTTCTATCATTTGAATCCAGGAAGTCTGACATTTTTCCTTTTCAATGCATTAGTGTAATATAACAATTCTTCTTCTAAATTACCTCTCAAATAACAGTGCTGTGTAATGGGGAATTCCTACAGCGATCATATTTCCATGAGGGAAAGCCAGATTGAAATTCAGCCGAAAACTCAGTACTCACTTCAATGTTATATACCTCATAAGATTTCATTTAAGTATGTTATTATTACTCCACTGAAGACATTGAATAAATAATGCAATATGCTGCAGTTACTGAAAGCTAAAAATAGTACCTAAAAAAACTGTGTTCTTACGTATTTCATCTTAATTAATGCAAAGAAAAATCTGGTAATACTTCTAAATTGGCTTTTCAGATTAAAATAAAACACACAGATCAGTTAAAAGGTATAAATAAATAATAGATAACATCATTACTTCCAAACTTAAAATAGATACCTTCAACAGAGAATTTAAAAATTAATGTAAATACTTCAAAATTGTTTTTGTATTAATTAAGATTTTCTTAGTTGCAAGTGATAAAAACCCAACTTGAATTAGCTGAAGCCAAAAGAGGACCATATTAGATCACACAGTAACCAACGGAGGAAAGGGGGAAATGAACCTGGATGTGTATCCATCTTTGTTTTTGGCAAGCATCAGCTCTGTGGTCTTCTGTGCATGGGGCTCCTCCAACCCCAGCTCTAAGCCATATCCCACTTCACAACAAAGAAAAGGGTCTCTTCTCTGCCAGATCCACATCAAATCCTAGATGGCCCATGCCATTCTTACCATCAGAAGTAGAGGAGGCCATACCTGCCAGGCACATAAGTATACAAAATGCTTAGAACATTAATTTTTCAATTTCTACCTGGCCTCCAAATACACACAAGACCTTCTCTACATACACAGCAAATTTGCCAGTTCTAATGACAAATGTTGAAATTTCACATGGTAAGAAACATTGTTCCTACTATGAACAGGAATTCCTACAAGTGAGCACATTTAACAATCACAACCATCCTGAGAGGCACTTCTCATTATCCCTATTTTACAAATAGCAGTGATACTCTGCATTTCACAGCCTTCAAACCATAAGAACAAACCCTGGTAGAAAAACCATTCATTGTTCCTGAGTGGGCCTGTCTTTCTCCCATCTTCCTTCCTTCTTTCCTTCTTTCCTTCCTCCCTTCCTTCCTTCCTTCCTTCCTTCCTTCCTTCCTTCCTTCCTTCCTTTCATCTTAAAAGCTACCTTGAAACTATACTTACTGCTAGTCTCTCATTTGTTTAATATTGAAGCAAAGACATTTTAGTAATTTCTCAAGTTGTGCTTTAGAAATATTTTGGAGGGAAAAAAAGCATGACGGTGCATTAAGTGTCTGACCTATTTTAGCTCCTCTACAGGAGCAACTTTTCCAAGGTTATGAATGCTTGACAACTCCCTGGGGTCTTTTTTTATTATCATTCAATACCATTACAAGTTGTCCTACTTTTCTTTTCCTCCATTCTTTTTTTTTAATCCAAGCAAAGTTTCCTTCTCTGCATCCCTATTAAAGACCAAAAGATTTTCACCCACTGCCCTATTCATGCAGCAAATTAATTCAATAAATGTTTGTTAGCTCCTACTAATTACTTTGAACAAAACACATGGTCCACGGCATGGCTTAGCATGACACATTCACATATAATGCTCCTTACACTGAGCTTACCCACTTATGGGAACATATTATATATTGTAACCTAATCTACAAATACAGTCTTATTGTTGCTACAACTATTATTACTTATAATCTGGGAGTAAAAAAAAAATACTAACCACAAAATAAAAGACTAGCAAAATGAGTTAACTTAAAATTTCTATTTATTAAAAGAAACAGTTAAGAGTTACAGACTTTCACCCACAGCCAACATCATATTCAATGGGCAAAAACTATGAGCATTTCCCTTAAGATCAGGAACAAGACAGGATGTATACTTTCACCACTCTTATTCAATGTAAAACTGGAAGTCTTAGCCACAGCAATCAGACAAGAAGAAGAAATAAAAAGGCATCCAAATTGGAAAGTAAGAAGTAAAACTGTCATTATTTGCAGATGACGTGATATTGTATATAGAGATCTCTAAAGATTATACCAAAAACTATTAGAACTGTTAAATGAGTTCAGTAAAGTAGCAGGATACAAAATAATAAAATCAGTTGCATTTTTATACACCAATAATGAACTATCAGAAAAGGAAACTAAAAAGAACAATCCCATTTACAACTGCTTCAAAAAGAATAAAATAGCCTGGCCAGTGTGATTCAGTGGTTGAGCATAGACCTATAAATCAGGAGGACAAGGTTCAATTCCCAGTTAAGGCACATTACAGGGTTGCAAACTAAGTCCCCAGAATGGGGCGTGCAGGAGGCAATCAATCAATGAATCTCTCTCACCACTGATGTTTCTATCTCTCCCTTCCTTTCTGAAATCAATAAAAATTTATTTTTTTAAAAGAAAGTAAAAAGCCAACCCACAAAATGGGAGAAACTATTTACAGACTACTAGTATATAACTGTCAAGGATCAAGTATGTAGAATATACAAAGAACTCTTACAACTCAACAATAAAAACATGAATAACCCAATTTTGAAATAAGCAAAGGGTTTTGGATTGTTATTTACCCAAAGAAGCTATAGAAATTATCAAGAAGCATATTTTAAAATGTTCATCAGGAAAATATAAATCAAACCACAATTAATTGCTACTTCATATTTGATAGGATGGCTATCATTTAAAAAATAAAAAATAATAAGTGTTGGTGAGGATATGGAGAACTTGTTTATAGGAATGTGGTCAGACATTGTTTATAGGAAGCTAAAATGATGACACATGAAGGATCTTTGTGGTGATGGAAATATTGTATATTGACTATTATCTGTCAATATCCTGGTTGTGATACTATACTATAGTTTTGCACACTGTTATTATTGGGAAAAACTGAGTAAAAAATATACATAATCTCTATGTATTATTTCTTATGGTTGTATATAAATTTACAATTATCTAAAAATAAAAAATTTAAATCAATTTCTAAAAGGAAAAAATGTTTACAACCGCATATAGGTTTGTTTTCTTTCCATATATCTGGCTACTTTCAATCATCCATTTGATTCAAACTCCTTATTCCAGCCATCTTCCTCTCAACAAATACCAACAACAACAACTATTGGGCATCTGTTATGTGACAAAGAATTTTATGTACTAATTTTATGGGTAAGAACTTTTATGCATTAACTTATTTAATCCTCACAACAGATAACTTTGAATTCTACTTTTCACAGGAAACAGCAGCCTCAGACACCACTTCCTCAACTTCATTCTCAACCATCCATATATAGATACATTATTATTTTCACTATATATATATATGTGTGTGTGTGTGTGTGTGTGTGTGTGTTTCAGAGAGGAAAGGAGAGGGAGAGAGAGAGAAACATCAATGATGAAAGAGAATCATTGATCAGCTGCCTCCTGCACGCCCCCTACTGGGGATCAAACCCACAACTCGAGCCTGTGCCCTTGACTGGAATTGAACCCAGGAGTCTCCAGACCGTAGTCCCAGACTCTATTCACTGAGCCAAATCAGCTAGGGCATCCATCCACACCTCCTTTTCTTCCTTTAATAATGAAAAGAAGGGCCCATTTCGCAGATTAAAGGCAATCCTTTCACTTAAGCACAGAATCTACTTCTCAGGATCCTAACTCCATCCAATAACCTCTTTCTTATATTTTGAATCCCTGCCCTAACCTTACAAATCCATCAATAATTCTCACTTCCCTTTTCGTAGCCACATTTCTTAAAAACTTGTTCACATTTACTCTTTCTATTTCTGAACCTTTCGTTCAATTCAAAATCCACTACAAATTGATTTCTGCTCTACTCTATGAAAGCCTGACCTCTTGCCAGCATTTCACACTACTACCTATTTCTTTATTTAAACTCTCTCTTCTTTGGGCTTCTCTGACATCACTACCCTGTGAGAGTTGAGGTAAGTGACACGGGTGACCTAAAAAGAGGGAAACGAAGTTATAATAAATAGGACATGCTCGTGACCAAGGAGGCAAAGGTGAGTATATCACTGCTTTTTGAGAGGGAAGTTTGGGAGATTGAGACAGAAGGGGCTACACTGGGCATTAAAACAAAGTGACCGTGACTTTCACCCTCTTTTCCCCATCATTTTCCCTATCATTTTCCCCTCTTTGTTCCCTACCCTTTGAGTGTAACAGGCGGGGGCAAGGGAGAGGGATGAACCCGGCTGGGGCGCTGCGAGAAGGGCACAAGTGGAGGTGGATGGAGACTGAGTCGCCAGCGGAACCCGGGAGCCGGGCCGCGGTTGCAGCTCGGAGGGAGCACGGGGACGGACGCGAGTGCGCTGGGTTAGCGGCGCTTCCGGTCCCAGCCCTGGCGCCAGCAGGCTCTTCAAATACCCAACACGGTGCGTGAAACCTGGGCTGGAGCTGCCGCTGATCGAGGATCCTGAGATCGGCGCAGGATACCCTGGAGGCAGGCTGCTCAGAGGCTGGCGGAAGACTCTGCTCCCAGATAGCGCCGGGAGGAGACGCACACGGCCTGGTCCGGTGTGTCCTTACCGTCAGTGGTCCCCTGCCCGGCCCTTTGGCCAGCGGCGCTGATAAATAGGCGGGGGTTTGGGGGCACGGGAAATTCAAATTAAACTAATTTCTCTGCAGATTCGGTGCGGTTAAAACCTGAGAATCCACACTTTAAAAAAGAAATGAAGAAATTAAGACTTAAAGAACTAGAGAGTCGCCTGCAACAAGTGGATGCATTCGAAAAGCCCAAGTTACTTCTAGAACAGTATCCCACCAGGCCGCACATTGCAGGTAGGGCGGCTGGTGACCACGTCTTTGCTTCGCGGGTAGGGTTATAGTCCTGTCTGTCTACTCCATAATGAAATGAGGACAGTTATTTACATACAAAGAACATCCAGAGGAAATCTACTGAAAGATTACATATCACATTAGAGAGGACTTCCTTGACATCACAGCTAAAGACACCCCACACACAGACACACACGTTGTCATTTTACTGTTTGGGTTTTGCATACCCTCTTAATACTGTCAGACATCTTTTTAATGTGTTTGTTTCTCTCATTACACTATAAACTCCTTAAGGGCAAAGAATTGGTCTTTTTCACACAGTTCCCAGTGCCTGAAGAGTTTCTGATACTAGTTAGGAGCTCAGTAAATATTTGTAAAATAGGGATCAATTTCTTTTTGCAAGGAATTGTCAGCACAGTTTCTATGCTGTACTCTATCCTAGAAATGAATACTAGAACTGGCTAGCTAAAGGGCTTTTAACAAATCCTCTTTAAATATGAGGATGCATTTCAATTTTAAAAATAATCTGAGTGAGAATCAGTAGTGTTGCTTGATCGGAGAGACTGATAACCAGTAATACAGGAGAGAATACAGGAAGAACCATTCATATTTAGTAAATGTATTATCAAAGGTCAATAGGGAGTCTTAAGGAGAATTAATTTGTTGATAACACCTGCGAGGAGGAAACTCATCCAGCTCCAACATATTATAGTTCTGATTCTAAGCTGCCAGTGAATGTTAAGGAACTTATCTCCAACATACTGTCATAATTTCAACCAAATATTAAGACCAGTTTACTCAATTTAGATAATGACTTACTTAATATAGGGTTTCTAAGTGGAAGTCAGCTTTTTAAAAGACCAGTTGTAACATGCACATGGATGTGCAAAATTTTTTTTAATATATTTTATTGATTTATTACAGAGAGGAAGAGAGAGGGATAGAGTTAGAAACATCGATGAGAGTGAGTCATCGATCAGCTGCCTCTTGCACACCCCCTACCGGGGATGTGCCCGCAACCAAGGTACATGCCCTTGACCAGAATCGAACCCAGAACCTCTCAGTCCCCAGACCGGCGCTCTACCACTGAGCCAAACCGGTTTCGGCTGAATGTGCAAATTCTTTACCAGCTTCTAAGTCACTGACACCTGCAGCTATAATCAGCACAGCACAGTCAGCCTGATATGTCCCATAAATGTATTTTTAAAATATATTTTATTAATTTTTTACAGAGAGGAAGAAAGAGGGATAGAGTTAGAAACATTGATGAGAAAGAATCATCGATCAGTTGCCTCTTGCACACCCCCTACTGGGGATGTGCCCGCAACCAAGGTACATGCCCTTGACCAGAATCGAACCTGGGACCTTTCAGTCCACAGGCTGACCCTCTATCCACTGAGCCAAACCGGTTTCGGCCCTTAAGTGTATTTTTTATATAAAACTATTGTATCCTGGGGCAGCAGTGATGGCCAGTAATCCTTGTAGGGTTCATATATCCAAAGGGAGATATAAGTGATCTTACTTATGAGTAACCTTCAGCATAGACCAGACTTTTGTGTATTTGAAATATCCCTTTCCAATCTCAGTAGCTTCTGCTCTACAACTTAATAGTTCTATCATGTCTTATTAGTGGATTATGACTATATGTCTGTAGATCATAAATATGTGTCTGAATATGTGAATCTAAAAGCTATATTGTGGGTTTAGTTTTTCCTTTCCCATTCTAGTTTAAGCTTATGGTACCTGGTGACAAATTTATTGCAAAAAAGTTATGTGCCTTTTTAATGTTAATGCTGTGGTTCCTGGACTTACAGATTTCAAAAATTAGTAAAATTTCAAAATAATTTTGGACATCGAGATAGGGTTGCCAAATTTATATATTAACAAGGAAAGATATTTTTAAAACTTATTCTTCCCATCCTTTCATAAAAATATTTCAACATCAAAGATAACTGACATGTGTGTGTGGCTGGCAATGTTTTGAACAGTTCTCATTTACCTCAAAGTTTTGTCATTCTTGGCATTGTCAGCAGAGACTAGTTTTGGGGAACCATTAGTATGGGTTTTTTTATTTTTTGTAGGACCTTGTATTACATACCAAGTTATATGCCTTTGACTGGGGTACCATTTTGGGGAGGACTAGATAATGAAAGATAAATTGTTATAACAAGTCATTTGCATAATTTGGATTTTGGTCATCAACTTGCTTCTCTAATATGTTTTTTGATCTTTTAGCATGTATGCTCTATACAATTCATAATACGTATGATGACATTGAAAATAAAGTGGTTGCAGATCTAGGATGTGGTTGTGGAGTACTCAGCATCGGAACTGCAATGTTAGGAGCAGGGTAGGTCCAGTATATATTATATGGTATGGGGTGGCTTTAATAAGTATGAAGTGAGGGGATTGAGAATCTGATAATGAGCTCATTTTCAATGAGCAGAACAAACAAAACAAAAAAAAAACTAACAAAACAGTAACTGAGGCAGCTGAGGCAGATGTCTCCCTTGTATACAAACCCTGCCAGATTGGGAAATCATGCTGTTGAAATGTAACACTCACTCTTACTTTGCCAGTTGAGTTAAAAAGGTTATGGTTTTTATTGTTACTGTTTTAACTTGGAAGCCATAAATAGTCGGTCTTTGTCTATGTTTTGTATTTACAGATTGTGTGTTGGATTTGACATAGATGAAGATGCATTGGAAATATTTAATAAGAATGTGGAAGAGTTCGAGTTAACAAATGTTGACATGGTTCAATGTGATGTGTGCTCATTATCTAACAGAATGTCCAAGTCGTTTGATACAGTAATTATGAATCCTCCTTTTGGAACCAAAAATAATAAAGGTTAGTAGCAAAACTCAGGTATATTGGTTTTAAAAACCAATTGCTCATTAATTGTTCAGGTTAAGTGTTTTTATCACTCTACAGTAAATACACCAATCTCTTATTTATAGTTATTACAATTACAATTTGTTTAATGCATGGATAGGGAATTGAATTTTTCAATCTTTGTTTTCACAAATTTGTATTAAATGAAAAAAATTTTTACTTCATCTGGTTTCAATAATGATTTACCTGCCCTTTGTGAATGATTACAAATCCTATAAAGTATTTTATACTTTTAGAACCTCCTTTTTTTTTTTTTAATCCTGGGGGATATTTTTCCCATTGATTTTAGAGAGAATGGAAGGGAGGGGGGAGAAAGATCAATGTGAGACTCATATCAAATGGTTACCTCTCTCACGCACACCAGTCAGGGTGGGGAACCTGCAACCCAGATATATGCCCTTGACTGGAATAGAACTCAAGATTCTTCTATTCTTGGGCCAATACCCTAACCATTTTACCATGCCAGCCAAGGCTAGAACCTCTCTCTTTTGTTTATTTTAGTATATATTTTTATTTATTTCAAAGAGGAATGGAGGAGAGAGAAACATCAATGATGAGAAAGAATCAGTGATCAGGTGCCTCCTGCACACCCTACTGGGGAGTGAATCTGCAACCTGGGCACATGCCCTTAACCAAATCAAACCCGGGACCTTTCAGTCCGCAGGCAGATACTCTACCCACTGAGCCAAACAAGTTAGGGCTAGAACCTCTTTTTAATACCCTAACACACCCAAGGATTTCATCATGTGTCCATCAGTAACAGTGACTCTCTGTGGTTGTGTGAATGCCGTGTGCAAGGAGGATAGGAAATCAGTAAGAGGAAAAGACATGCATAGTTTTAAAAAGTCCTCCTTGCACCCCCCCATCCCCATGTGATTCTAATTACTACTCTATTCCTTTCTCCCCTCTTTGAAAGTTTTTGGAATATGATACTAATTTTTTTCCTTTATCCTTATTCAAATACATTATAGTTCTGGTTTTAGTCTATCAACTTATATTTGGGTATTTTACTTATTTGTATCCTTTTTTGCAGAATTTGAAGTGGCTATTTTAATATTTACTACTACCTGGTATTCACTTAATCTTCTATTTTGATAACAGGTATATAATTTAAATTGGAGCTTTTTCTACTGTTAACAGGAACAGATATGGCATTTCTAAAGACTGCTTTGGAAATGGCAAGAACAGCAGTATATTCTTTACACAAATCCTCAACAAGAGAAGTAAGTTCAAATCATCATAACATTGTCATTTATTTTTGAAATTATGAATGTTGTAAGGATTTGCTGTGAAATTTATTTACTGGTAAATAAATCTAAATACTAGAGAAAACCTGGGCATGTGCTCCAACTGGGAATTGAACTGTGACCTCCTGGTCCATTAGTCGATGCTCAGCCACTGACCAACACTGGACAGGCAAGTCTGTATTCTTATACAGAAATTCTAGATCTCAAAAATGGGAAAATATACCCAAACTAGGAATATTTATTAAATTCAAGAAAAAACTATAAAAACACAGTGTCAGTATTGTTTAAAATTTAGGGAAATTAAATAGTTTATCAACCAGCTTAATCATACTATCATCATGAATAAAATGCTTATACAAAATGTTAGTAGCTCTAGATTTCTAGCAAATTATGCACATAATTTATTTAGGGCATTATGGGCAACTTTTTTTCCATTTATGTTGAAATGTTGTGTATATTGTTTTTAAAAATTCATAAAGCAATTTTTATAACAAATTAACCAAAAATTTTATGTAGTTAAAGACCTAAAAGTGGTTAATGTTTAGTACTTACTGTGTGCCAAGACAGTTCAAAGCATTTTTTATATTCCTCAACAATCGGATGAGAGATACCATTATTATCCTCATTTAACAGATGAAGAAACTGAGGCACAAAAAGAATGAGTAGCTCAGGGTTACTTAGCTAAGTAGCAGAGCAGCAGTTCAGATACAGGCTGTGTTTCCAGAGACCATGATCTTAACTACTATCCCATACTGCCACTGACCATGTCATAGATCTCTATTGGTTTCCAGAATAGTTATATATATATTGATGAAATAATGCTGTAGAAACCATGGTTACGTTATACACTTTGATGTATTTCTGAAATAATAGGTTTGTGACTTGGATTTTATTTAAATATTAGTGGCCGGTTGCAGGAAGATTCCTGCAATAGGGCTTCCTGCTGCAGTCGCTGCCCTGCCTGCTTCCCTCCCCTCTCTGTGCTTGGCTTCTTTCTATGCTGTCTTCAGTCTTCACTCTGGTCTGGATATGCAAGTTAACCATCTTGGTTGGGTTAATTTGCATACTTGTCCTGATTGGCTGGTGGGCAGGACTGGTGGGCGATGCAAAGGTGCTGTCAATTTGCATGTTTCTCTTTTATTAGGTAGGATGTAATTTGGCTCAGATGGTTAAATATATTGAAATGGCTTGGTTTATTTTCTAATGTGATCCATTCAGTTGAAAAAAACTTAAGGATCTAAATTCTAATGAAGTTTTAAAAACTTGAATTTTTTGAAAACTACACCAAGTATTAGTAAAAAGCAATTTAAAAATATTTACAAATCAGTTCATATTAACATATTATTATGTTCAGCATATTCAAAAGAAAGCTGCAGAATGGAAAATCAAGATAGACATCATTGCAGGTAAGACAGTTTTTAAGTTTCTCATAAAACAAATCTAAATTCTATCTAAGAAAGCCAAGATGCATTAAAGCCAAATCGGAATATTTATACAGGTCCTGAGAAGATACTGTAAATCTCATTTTTGTGTTGCAAACAGATAGCAAATGGAGTAAAGGCAGGGTATCAGTGTTTGTCTAAGACTGTCCCAATTTATGTATTGAATTTTACTGAAAACTTCTATTAGTGCCGAAGTATTTGGTCACTCCAGGCTCAGACCCTTTATAGCTTCATAGTGACTGAAAAACTTGGGTTGAGTTGGTCAGACCTCAGTTTGAAATCCATTCATAGGAAATACCAGATTATGCCTATTATATATATATATATATATATATATATATATATATATATATATATATATATTTTTTTTTTTTTTTTTTTTTAACTATTGCTGCCCTTTTTTAAAAATGTTTTTGTAGAAACATCAATGATGAGAGAATCATTAATTGGCTGCCTTCTGCATACCCCATTACTGGAGACTGAGCCTGCAATCCAGGCATGTGTCCTTGCCTGGAATCGAACCCAGGACCCTTCAATCCACAGGCCAAAACAGCTAGGGCTGGATCACCTGTCTTTCAATTTTCTAATTACCCCTGAAGTCAAATAACATTAAGCTTTTTTTTAGTAGGGGATAGAATATAATCATCCACACTGAGTAAATCATGCTTGGTACATTTTTATTAGTAAACTGAATATTAACAAACATTAAAATAGGGAAAGCATACAACTAGAAGCTAACTGTAATCCAAATAATCTTGAAAAGTCTGAAATAAGAGTACAATAAGGGGAAATGTTTTTACACGATGATAAACTATGAACTAGCACGGTGGTGTTAACCATATAACTAGATCTATTACTGTCCTTAATAAAATGTGTAAAAGGTCAGTCTTTCTATTATATTCAGTATTGTCATTCCTTACATAGTTTAAGTTATTAGAATATGCAACATGGAACACCTCAGAACAATTCCAGTATACTACCAAACCAGAGCCTTGCTACTCCAAATGTAGTTTTAGGTCATCACCATTGGCATCCCTTGGGAGCTTGTTAGATTTGCAAAATTCCAGGCTCCACTCATAACTACTGAATTATAATTTGCACCTCAATGCACATTAAGATTTGGGAGCTGTGACCCAGAGTTAGAATTTATGTTGTAAAATATGAAGGGCTAGGTAGACTCATTGCCATCACTCTAAAATGGATCAGTAATAAGTTTGGAGGACCTACATTATACTCTAGAAAGGAAGAATATGAAAAAATTTGTTTTCATTTAAGAGCATAGTTGGAAAATACATGGCTACTTACTACCATTACTAAAATCCAGACAAAATTTTAAAATAACCATACTTATGAGATTGCTAGCTATTGATTAGAAAACTAAAAATAGGAAGGTACTATCATTTTCATAGGATATACTTTTGTCCACTTATAATGCTTCTAAACTCTTCCCTATAACCTCAAATTTTGGTATAAATTACCAAAATAGCAAAAATGCCAAACTCAACTTGCCATGGGTAACTTTGGGGATATATCATGGCAGTCCTTGGATACCAAGTTAAAGTGACAGGTCTAAAATCTTCAGTTTACCAACATTTAGTGCTTTCTTAATTCGTGTGTTTTTTTTTAGTCAAGGGTGGTAAATGCTTAGAAATATAGTTTTCATCCTTAGGTGGCCTTTTTTGTGTTTCTTTTTTTAATAGAGCTGAGATATGACCTGCCAGCATCATACAAATTTCATAAAAAGAAATCAGTAAGTCTCTTAAACTTTACAGTAAGTAATTCTTATATTATCAAGTTGCCTGAGTAAATACAAGAAAGCCAGCCTGGGAGACAGATTATGGAATAGCCTATAATCAACAGCCAATATTCTGGTTTAAGATAAATCATTTCTCAAATACTTTGGGCAAAAAAAAAGAAAAAATAAACTTAAGTTTTCGTTCTTTTTATATAGTATATATTTTATTCATTTGTACTAATACATTCTCATATTACAAAGGCAATTTAGTACAAGAATCTTTCTTTTGATATTTGAATCATCTGAATAACATATAACTGTACATTAAAAAAAAATCCTCATTTGAATAACAAAAAAGACAAGCTAAACAATAAAAATTTTTCTTTCTTACAGGTAGACATTGAAGTGGACCTAATTCGGTTTTCTTTTTAAAAGCATCCAAAGACAAACGCAGCTGAAAACCTAATTAAAATGAATACAAAATTCGTTTACTAAACTACTGGTCTCCGGCACCATTTTCTGTTTTCTGCTGTTTTGATGCAGGTTCTTCTTTGTCTGTTTCTTCTCTTGCTCTTTTTACTGGTCCTATACAATAACAATTAATTTTTGTTAAGTTCATTGTAAGGATTACTCTCTTTTAGTAAGGAGCACAATTACCAATGAGAAAGGCTTTTCTTATAGTACACACCTTCTGCTCTCTAACCTTAATTTCCAAACATCCTTGTTATCCAATTGTAAAAACAGCACAACCAGGGTAAATTGCAATCCAACAATGCCACTCCGACAGAAACTGAATAACCACATCACTATTCTCTTCCACAAATAATTTCTCATGTAAGTACCAAATGACTTAGAAAAACTTACCAGATGCATCATTTTCATCATGTTCACCATCACTATCAAATTTAGTTTTCTTGCCCTGGAACTGTACTTTTCCTTTAGCAGACCCAGTCTGGGCAACTTTATTTCCCTTTCCTTTTCCTTTAAATCTTCGACCTAAAGTGACAATTGAAAAATCAGTAAAGAAATGTTTTAAATATATTGTCACTGTCTTTGAACACCTATTATATTTTTTACTCAAGCAAATGAGTATATGTCCAAACTCAGAAAAAAATAAGAATTAATAACCTTTTGACTTCCATTTGTTTAGGGATTCTTGTTGGTCATCCATGATTTTTTTCAATGCTTCTTTTTCCACATCTCCATCTAGTACTTCCCATGTCACCTCTTTGTTCCTTAATTGAAGGTTACCATTATTTGCATCTTTGGCTTTATCCAGTGCTTCCTTAGCTTTCTCTTTAAATAGAATTATTCCCTACACCAAAGACAAAAAAACCACACCCTTAGTTTTTAGTCTCACAGTTAATACCTTCAAAGTAATTTTTCCTAGCCTGCAAAATCTTCCATGCCATTACCAGTTTCAATGAATTTCAGTGAACATCAGGAAGGAAGATACTACAAAACTTGCAGTTACTGATACAGCCATTTACAGCATAACAGAAAATATCAGATATCACCTGGCCAATACGGCTCAGTGGTTGAGAGTAGTAGACTCATGCACCAGATCACTGATTCAATTCCCAGTCAGGGCACTTGCCCAGGTTGCAGGCTCCATCCCCAGTAAGGGGCGTGCAGGAGGCAGCCTCTCAATGTTTCTCTCTCTCCCCATTCACCTTTCTCTAAAAATCAATAAAAATACATTTAAAAAAAATACAGATATCACATGGAGTCAAAGCAATCACAAAACAGACAATTAAACTATCGGGTCTAGTAACAATTAATGTCGTTTTTTAACATTCGTTTAAAATCTTGCTTGGCGTTGACTTGTATTGACATAACCTTCAAACACGTGGTATCTATAGAACGTGTGAAGTGCAATTAACAAGTTTTGCTTGAAAAAGTTTGTGTTTGGTTGGTTTTTGTTGCAAAACTAGAGCTAAGAAGATGGCGGATGAAGAGCATATTCGGCACTGCATGCTTTACGAGTTCCAATTAGGAAGAAAAGCAAGTGAGGCTGCAAAAAACATCTGTAGTGCTCTTGGTCAAGATGCAGTTAGGGCCAGAAAATGCCAGCGTTGGTTTGAGAAATTTCGCAAGGGAAATTTTTCGTTAGATGACAAGAGTGGTCGAGGCCGTGTGTCCAATTTTGATCAAGAAGCTCTTCAAGCTCTTTTGGTGCAAAATCCTCAAATTACCCAACAAGAGCTTGCGACAACTTTAAATTGTTCACAAAAAACCATTTCCAATCAATTGCGTGCACTTGGCAAAGTCCAAAAGTTTGGAAAATGGGTTCCTCATGAGTTGACCGACAACAACCGTAATCAAAGAGTCACAATTTGCAGTTCGCTCCTCTCTCGTCAAAACCGTTTGCCGCTTTTAGAGCAAATTGTTACCGGAGATGAAAAATGGGTGCTGTATGTTAATTTGAAAAGGCAGCCTCAATGGTTGGACAAAAATGAGGCTCCGCAGCCCACGCCAAAACCTGACTTGCATGCGAAAAAAGTGATGATGTGTGTTTGGTGGAATTTTAAAGGAATTCTTCATTATGAACTTTTACCATCTAACCAAACCATTACAAGTGCAGTGTATAGTGCCCAATTGGAAAGGTTAGCCCAAGCTTTAAGAGAAAAAGAACCCGCGCTGATTAATCGGAAGTGTGTAATTCTTCACCACGATAACGCACGACCGCATACTGCAAGAATCACTGCTGAAAAACTGCGCCAGTTGGAATGGGAAGTTCTCCCTCAACCTGCATATTCTCCTGATATTGCCCCTTCCGATTACCATTTGTTTCGTTCTTTGCAAAACTTTCTTCTTGGGAAAAAATTTAATAATGAAGAAGGCCTCAAAAATGCATTGACCGAATTTTTTGCATCAAAATCACAAGAATTTTACAACAGAGGGATTAAAATGCTTCCTGAGCGTTGGGCACAAGTAGTAGAAAACAACAGCAACTATATTGTTGATTAAATTTTGTTGTATTGTTTAAATAAATTCGATTTAAAAAAGTATTAGAAAACGACATTATTACTAGACCTAATATTTGCATAAATAATGAAAATTTGCTTTCTACTAATTATTTTATCTAAAAGATAAATTTCTGTGGATTTTTCAACATTGGCATAAAGGATATGAATGTTTCCAAACCTCTTTTGCTCCTCTGACAAAGTCTATCCATTTTATTTCACCATGATTTGAGAAAATGATGTGCAAATCTTCTCTACAGGTCTGATCATCTAGGTCCCCTGAAAATTTCAACAAGCAGCCAATCTTTTCTTCTAGAGATTTCTATAAAAACATACAAGGCAATAAAAGTTTAATAAAAGCAACCACAAATCAGAAATAGCTTACACCACTCTATACCTATACAAGAAAAAGACTAGAAACTAAAATGATATTTTTAAGTACTTTAATAGTTGGTATATTTTATCCTTTGTTGTACAATGGCTTTTAACTATTTTCTCCAAGTAAAATTTAATTAGTTATATGTTTTAGTTATATAAGTCTGTTTATTAAATCACTTCTAGATAAATAATAATTTTAGCCAATAGTACTTGGCTATTACAGTAATAACAACTACAGACTTGCTTACATATTTTCTGGAAAGTCTTCAGATCTTTTATTCTCATAACTTCAAATTCTTAGAAATCAGTAACATATACTTACTAATTCAGCACTTTCTGCTAACTTTCGTTTTTCTTCTTGCTCTCTACAAATAAAAATATAATTAGAATTTTCCATTTACTATATGAGAAAATTAAATCACAGCAAAAATTACCTTGATCATAATCACTAAACTTAACCAAAGCCAGTCCTTAGAATTTCTGATTGTCCAATACTAGCACATACAATGTGGCCTTCAGATTATCAAGGCATTTTAAGACCCCAATGTTTCATGAGTAAAAGGTTACCATATTTTCCGACATATAAGACGACCCCCTAATTTTATAGTTAAAACATAGGTTTATGCTATATTCGCTGTATAAGACTATCCCCCACTTCCGAGGCAACACCAGTTGTTTTTTTTTAATAGACCGCCTCTCTGACTCTGGCCAATCTGAGCAGGCTTTTTACTAGAACACAGTGTAGCCTATTACTACTCATTTCAAAGCTCATCATCAGCCCCATTTCTCAGAACCACTATCTAACTTGGTAAAGATTTAAGGAATTAAAATGTTCCATTAGCTCTATTTACTTACTTTTTAGCTCGTAATTTAGCTTCCACTTTATTTTGCTTTCTTTCTTCATTTTTCTTTGCAAAGTAATCTTCCCTAAAGGACACAAAATATAGAGGCTAAATTCATGAGAACAAAGATTTCAAATTATTTTGAATTATTTAAGACATGGTATAAAAAATGTTGATTTTTTTCTATCAACATAATTACCTAAAAATTCAAAAGATATCAAGGAAGTTACTCGTTTTTAAATAGATTTACTAAGAAGTAATTCACATGCCATAAAACTCACTGTTTTAAAGTGTATAATTCAATGCCTTTTAATGTATTCAGATTGTACAACCATCACTATTATCTAATTTCAAAACATTTTCATGACCCCAAAAAAGAAATTCCATATCCATTAACCATCTCCTATTGGTTTTCATTTATCATTCATGTATTTTTTACTTATTTTTTAAGTATTATTTTTTATTGATTTCAGAGGAGAGAGAGAAACATCAATGATGAGAATCATCAATTGGCTGCCTACACACCCCACACTGGGGACGGAACCGGCAACCGAGGCATGTGCCCCTGACGAATCAAACCCAGGACCTTTCAGTCCGCAGGCTGACACTCTACTGAGCAAAACCCTACCTCAGGGTAGAGCTCATTCATGTGTTTTTTTGTTGTTGTTGTGTTTTGTTTTTTTTAAGTAAACTACCAGTTATGTAAGTTTCAGAGTTTTCTAGTGTTTGTTTCACAAAAGGAGAAAATTCTAAAATCCCTCCCTGAGACTCAAGAATAAAAACAATTATAGAAATCACATTAAAAACATATCCTCAGCCGAAACTGGTTTGGCTCAATGGATAGAGCGTCAGTCTGCGGACTGAAAGGTCCCGGGTTCGATTCCGGTCAAGGGCATGTACATTGGTTGCGGGCACATCCCCGGTGGTGGGGGGTGTGCAGGAGGCAGCTGGTCGATGATTCTCTCTGATTGTTTCTAGCTCTCTATCCCTCTCCCTTTTTCTCTGTAAAAAATAACAAAAATATATTTAAAAAAAACAAACATATCCTCAGCCTCCTAATTATAGATACTTCTATCAATCTGCCTCCCAGTGTTTATGAGAGTTCAAACTGTATAATACTGTTCAAAACTGAAGACTATTAGGTATCAGTTCTTTTTTCTGCTCACTGTGATACTACAGAGAAATTATTCTTCATTACTGCTCAGCAAGATCATCGTATATGCTTAATCATCACTTGTATTATTTTATTTCTTCCAGTTTCCTTCCATTATAGTATCTGTGTCACTGGTTTTTAAGAGCTTGTTTATGACTAAAGATGCATTGCAAATAAAATACCATGTTTTTTGTTATTATTTTACTCTGGTGATTTTTTTTGTTGTATCAAATTTGTGTATTAAATATAATCATGTTCTGTTTAAAAACAAACAAGCATATCCTCGGGTGAAGACTAAAAAAGAAAAAACAATTTTGAGAGTGTAACACTGAGCATGATTATCACAATGCATCTCTAAATCCGGTTTAGTACACAGCATATTTAGAATACTATGTTGTAGAGAGCACCTGGGATTGGTGGCCGAGTCTAGTGGCATCGGCAGAGCCACCTCCTGGAAACATACCTTGCCAGAGGCAGGTATGTTGTCAGCCTAACCTTTAGCTCAGGTGCCAGGGGGTGGGTTTCATATCTAAGTTCAGCTAAGTGCCAGAACAGACACAATTATCCGTGTTCAGCCAGGAGTGACAATTACAAAGAAGCCATAAGAATGAAGAATTGCAGCTTGATCCTTAACCATGATTTCACATAATTTCCTGTGTCTTAAACTGTAGTAAACTTCCCAGTATCAGAGATGCAAATCAAAACAACGTGGTACCATCTCACACCTGTCAGAATGGCCAACATCAACAAATCAACAAACGACAAGTGTTGGCGAGGTTGTGGAGAAAAAGGAACCCTCGTGCACTGCTGGTGGGAATGCAGGCTGGTGCAACCACTGTGGAGAACAGTGTGGAGTTTCCTCAAAAAACTAAAAATGGAACTCCCATTTGACCCAGTAATCCCACTCCTAGGAATATATTCCAAGAAACTAGAAACACCAATCAGAAAGGATATTTGCACCCCTATGTTCATAGCAGCACAATCTACAATAGCTAGAATCTGGAAACAGCCTAGGTGCCCGTCAGCAGATGATTGGATCCAAAAACTATGGTACATCTACACAATGGAATACTATGCTGCCATAAAAAAGAAATAATTCTCATTATTTGCAGCAACCTGGATAGAACTAGAGAACATCATGCTGAGTGAAATAAGCCAGTCAATGAAAGAGAAATACCACATGACCTCACTCATTTATGGATATTAAAGAACATTATAAACTGACGAACCAAAAGGCAGATATAAAGACAGTAAAGCAACAAGCAGACTGTCAAATTACAGCGGGAAGGGTAGAGAGATCTGGGGGGGGATAAGAGATCAACTGAAGGTGTTATATACATGCATATAAGTACAACCAATGGACACAAAACTCTAGGGAGGGAGGGTATGTATTGGGGGGGGATGTTAAAATATGTACACAGATAATAATTAAAAACAAACAATAAAAAGCTTCCCAGTATCATGCTGTATATAATAAACACGCTGCACCAGCTCTGGGTCACTATCTCCATCAGAGGGCAGCATTCCACCTGGTCCCAGCTTAACCTAGTGTCCATGTCTATTTCTTTTTCTCAATCCCCCCTCACCCCTACTAGGGACTCGTCCGCTCTCTAGCTGTGCTGGCCGCGATAAGGAGAGAAAACTTATACTACTATGTAATGCACAAGTAGGAGACTATGGTCCTCCATCTAACTTTATCATGCAAATGCTCTGGTTTGTCCAAGTTTTCAGACACACTGAAAAATGTGATTCAAATCTCTATTACATAATCCTTTGTACTATATAAAATACAGGCATAGCCAGGACTGGTTTGTCTCAATGGATAGAGTGTCGGCCTGCGGACTGAAGGGTCCTGGGTTCGATTCCGGGCAGGGGCATGTACCTTGGTTGCAGGCACATCCCCAGTAGGGGTTGTGCAGGAGGCAGCTGGTCGATGATTCTCTCTCATCGATGTTTCTAACTCTCTCTTCCTCTCTGTGAAAAATCAATAAAATATATATTTTTAAAAAATAAATAAATAAAATAAAATACAGGCATAGCTAAAACCGGTTTGGCTCAGTGGACTGAGAGGTCCCAGATTTGATTCCGGTCAAGGGCATGTACATTGGTTGCAGGCACATCCCCAGTAGGAGTGTACAGGAGGCAGCTGGTCGATGTTCCTCTCTCATCGATGTTTCTAGCTCTCTATCCCTCTCCCTTCCTCTCTGTAAAAAATCAATAAAATATATTTTTAAAAAATAAATAAAATAAAATATAGGTATATAGACTATGAGAACACATAAAAATTGCAGTGATTTATTCTCTAACACCAAAAGCCAAAATTTTAGTATCCAGCCTGATTATGAATTTTAGATGCAAAATAAGTCCTAAAACTCAGCCTCGTTTACTAACTGCTAACAGAGAAAAGGTATTAATAAACTTTTCTATGTATTCTCAAAGGATTGTTTCCACTAAACCAATTTCAAGCACTTCTCAAAGAACCCAATGGATACCAAAACTACTGGACTTACAGAGGATGTTATTCCATATTCCTTACTTACCCTAGTGTGAAAATTCAAAATAAATAACTAAGTGGCCAGAAGAAACATCAGGAAAAAGACTTACTTGAAAAGTATTAGCAGATCTGTGTCTTTGTATTTTTGTCCAGGGGTCTCCACAAACTTTTTAGCAGATTCAATGCTATCAAACACAGCAAATATTGATCCCTTTTAAAAGGGGGAGAAAGATTTTTTAGTTATATCCCATATATTTTTCAACTAGAAAAAGTCTGTTACATCATACAACCATACCTTAAATGCTTTATGCAATGTTCTTCTCATCTGAATATTTAGTACTTGACCTTTATCTTCTAACCATTCTTTTATGTCATCAAGGGTTGCATCAGTAGGGAAGCCTTTCTGTGAGTAGCAAGAAATGTACAAATGACTTCTTAGATAAACAATTAGCGAGAAATTCTGAGTCCTTTTGTCTTGAAATGAAGCCAGGACATCCATCCATCCCTCCCTCTCTCAAATGTTTTGACAGCTCTGGTTCAGAGTTATTGCTATCCAGTACAATAAGACTTATCTAGGATTCAATTCCAAATAATCCAGCTGTTGTAGAAAAAATAATCCAGTTAGAACAGGGATAAGATTCATCAGGTGTTAACTGTTACAATTAGATAATTGTACATTATATATACAATCTACTTTTGTATATCTGAAATTTTCCAGAATAAAAAATACTTAAAAATTAATATTCTAAAAAAAAAATTGCTATCGAGTTCAGCTGATGACAAATAAGAACAGGTGATATGCACTGGGTGTTTATATGGTAAATATTTTACCCAATGGTATATGGGTTTTTCATTTGATTCTCATAACACTTCTGAAAGGTAAAAATATTACCATTTATAAAGATAAGGCTTAAAGAAATTAAGAACATATAGTAGGTAGTGAGGGACATATAATAAGTAGTGAAGCTATGATTGCTGAGCCCTTGTTCTCACCAACTCTACCATCCATTTTTTCTAAACAAATTAAGTTATAATTAAGTGCATTAAAGGCCCACTTACAATATAAACAGATCTGTTTTTTACATCATTTTTATACTCATCAGTCACTTCAGGGAGGGGTTTATTTGGAGATCTTCTGATTTTGGTTTTATCTTCACTTATTTCCATGAGTTCTGCCTTTGATTTGCTCAATGCTTCTACTATTACATTAAAGTCTGTTGTTAGACGGTTTAACCTGAAGAATATGTATAAAAACATTGTAAGACTTAGTACTAGCACTTGTTAACAGAAAATCTAAAGATGATTTTTAAAAGGTTTTTTACCTATTAAATTTTATCATTATTTCCAAAGGTACCCAGCCTTCATCCAGTTTGATTTGTTCCTTTAAAAATTTGTCCCGTGGCAAATTGAAATCGCCAAAATAATACTGCAAGATAATTACAATATATTTCAGATCATTGTATAATATTGACTCCAACTCTGGAAGGTTTTTATATAAATTACTATCACATCACTAAGTTATATTCTTTAAAAATACATGTCATGCTCTGGCCAGTATTGTTCGTTTGGTTGCACGTCATCCCATACACCAAAAGGTCGCCAGTTCTATTCCTAGTCAGGGTACATGCCTGGGTTTCAGGCTTGACCCCCAGTGCGGGGTATGCAGGAGGCAGACAATCAATGTTTCCCTTTCTCTTTCTCTCCCCTCCTCATTCTTCCTTTCTCTCTAAAATCAATAAAAACTTATTTTAAAAAACAAATGTCAGAACTTAAGTAGCAATAAATATTTCCTCCTAAAGATACCATAATTAAATATTTATAATACAAATTTAACAAAAAGGTAAAACTAAGTCAATTAAACAATGCAATTAACAGATATGTCAACAAAAAATAAAAGTATACCTAAGGATTAAGTATATTAAAAAAATCTCTTGCTTCAAATCAGTGTGGGAAAAATAAATTTAAAACCTGGAATAAACTGGTTAACCACTCCAATTTTTAAAAGTTAAAAGTGTAGCCAAAACCGGTTTGGCTCAGTGGTAGAACGTCGGTCTGCTGACTGAAAGGTCCCAGGTTCGATTCCGGTCAAGGGATATACATTGGTTGTGGGCACATCCCCGGTGGGGGGTTGCAGGAGGTAGCTGGTTGATGTTTCTCTCTCATCGACGTTTCTAGTTCTCTCTCTCTCCCTTCCTCTCTGTAAAAAATCAATAAAATATATATATTTTTTAAAAAGTTAAAAGTGTATATCTAATTTAAGCATAGAATCACCCTTTCTCAGTATAAAAACAAGGAAAAACTATACATGAAAAACTATAGAAGTGTGACTGCTTAGAATGACAAAAATAAGACACAGAAGTCTATTAATAATTCTTAGGAATTAAGGGAAAAGAAAAAAAACTCCAGAAAACTGATAGAAAAATGAATAAAGGACATTTTTTTTAAATCACTAAAACTATATATGTACTATAAGCATAAGTTCAATTCATTATTAATTCAAAGAAATATAAATTAATGAAATAGAATTTTTCACCTGACAAATTGGCTGAAATTCTAAAAACAAGCATACCTAGTATTGGTCTGAATACAAAGAAATAGTCATGCAGGCAGATATAAATTGGCCTTAATTATTGAAAGTTTTTTAAAAATGTGTATAACCTGCCAAAACCGGTTTGGCTCAGTGGATAGAGTATCGGCCTGCAGACTGAAAAGTCCCAGGTTCGATTCTGGAAAAAGGGCATGTACCTTGGTTGTGGGCACATCCCCAGTAGGGGGTGTGTAGGAAGCAGCTAATAGATGTTTCTCTCTCATTGATGTTTCTAACTATCCCTCTCTCTTCCTCTCTATAAAAAAATCAAAATGTCAGTAAACATGTTTATTAATTTATAAAGATATGATAAAGCTGTTATAGCTAAAATATTGGAAATACTCTACACATCAAATAGGGAATTGGGTACATTGCATCCCATGTTTGGTGGAGGAAAGGGAAGGAAATAAAAACTATGTTAGTGTCAGCACTGACCAAAGTGTAAAAGTGTAAAAGGTATTATTATCCTCACTTCATAGACTAGGAAACTACAGAAAAAAGGTAAGTAACATTAGTCTACAATGTTATCTTTTGAAATGTCTGCAGTCTTTGGGTTTCATAAACTGGCTCCACAAATATAAACAGGTGTACTATTTTATGTACAACTAATTCCAAGAATCAAAGACAAGCCAAATATTGAATTATGGGTCAATATATGACCAAAATTAAATGTCATTTCTGTATTTGTTATGAGGCCCTAAATTTCCTTTCGAAGAGCTTGTTTTCACAGTTGAATAGTACAAGGATCATACCTCAATTTGATGACAGATTTTGGCCTCCAGGGCAGCCATTTTTTCATCACCATTTTCAGCCATTGTGGCTACCTGTAAATTTTTTCAAATTGGAATTATTGCTTATTTTTTAGCATAAAACTCAAGATCAGAAAAAGAATGTTTTAAAATTATCAATATCCCACTATTTTCTTTTAAAATAAACCAATAATTTTTAGTTTCTCTACTCAATTCTCAAATTTCAAAAAAAGAAAACTTTGGAATAAGTGATGGAAAAGTGAAAAGGTGCACACCCCTTTCAGTAAATCACTGCTCCCTCTTCTATAACAAAGCAAGTGGTTATCTTCTTTATGGATCTCAGCCCCACTAGTTTGGTGTGGGTCAAATTTCTTTTAAAACTAGTCACAGTTGACTGACTAAAATCTTTATCAGCCAAGATTAAGTATCATAACTTTGGGGGGGGGGGGGGGATTCACATATTTCTGCCAGGGTCCAATCAGATGCTGTACAGTAAGAAGCATATGAGCCGGAACTGGTTTGGCTCAGTGGATAGAGTGTCCGCCTGCAGACTGAAAGGTCCCGGGTTCTATTCTGGTCAAGGGCATGTACCTGGGTTGTGAGCACATCCCTAGTAGGAGGTTTGCAGGAGGCAGTTGATCAATGTTTCTCACTCTCTATCCCTCTCCTTTTCTCTCTGTAAAAAATCAATAAAATATATATATATTTTTTTTTAAAAGAAGCATATGAAATGACAACTTGAAAGCCTGCAGACACGGAGACACGGATACGCTGGGATACAGGAGGAGGCTGTGAGGTTGGTTTGCTAGGGACACAAAACCACGTCTCCTCACTTCAAGTGACCTGCGCCTAGAGCTCTATGAAACCATCCAGGCACCCACATCGCACACAAGTACCCAGGGTCTCATCAAGAGTGTCTGCCATTCGCTGCCTCCCTTGCCGGTACCCTTCTCAGAGGCCTCGCGCAAACACGGTAATTACTACACAATAAACCGAGTGTGTGCACGCTGGGAGCTCTGGCAACAGGGATTTTTATATGGCGCACATCCCACTACCAACTTTGCTCAGCCGTATACCCTGGACTGCCGACCACCATCTACATTCCTAACTTATCACCATGACGTAGGGCCCCTTGGAAAACAAAGGGGGAGTTAAAGGACTATTTTTAAGTCCTTACAAGCCGCCTCAGCTTACCCAATTTTAGAACTTCGCTTCATCCTAGTCTTACCCAGAATGTAAAAATACGATGTGAGACATGAGCCACAGTTAACATTTCGCACAGAAGCCTGAATGTGAGTGAACGGAGAAAACCCTAGAAAGCCGAGTTTCGCCAGGGGAACACCCACAGCCCCGATCCTCGGGCCTCCGCTCGGTCCCACGGGATCCCAGGAGCCCCGCGGAGTTCCGCCGCGCCGCCCCCCCGCCCCCGGGAACCCACGGGGGAGGCCGGCCCCCAGAACGGCCGCCTGAGGCGCCCCGCGAGGCGGCCACGATGGGAAACTTCCAGGACGCAGAGGGGATGCGGGCAGCTTCCGTCCACAGAACCCGCCAGGGACCCGTCCCGAAGCAAGACCCCGGCTCGCTGAGGCCCCAACCGCGTGCGCAGAACCGCAGGCTCCGGCCTTCCCCTCAGGGGCCCCTCTCCCCGCCCGGGCCAGCGCGCCGCCTCCGGCCGCGGCCCACGCGGCCCAGGACCCGGACCTGAGGCAGGAGAGAAGCCGAGGCGCCCGGCATGAGGCAGCAAAGAAAGGAACGCGCGCCGCGGACCACGCGGAGCAGGGCCTTTTGTTCCTCCTCCTCCTCCTCGTCAGCCCCGGAAGTTACTCACCTAGAAGGTGCCGGTCCCGCAGAGCCGGGCTACAGGATCGCTGAGAACGCCTCGCTCGCCGCTTCTAACGCGCGCGCAAAGAAGATGGGGGCTGTCCCGGCAGCCCTTGCGCCCGGTGCGAGTGGCCGCGGCCGCGCGGCCTCGGGCGCGCAGAGGCTGGCGGGGCGCCGGCGCAGCGTGATGACGTGGCGGTAGTTCCGCCCCTACTCCTGGGCCCTCCCCAAGAAATTGGGTTGCTGTGTCTGGCCGAGTGATAGAGAGGATGTTAGTGTAATTATTTGTTTTTGTTTGGGGGGAAAGGGGGTTGATTGCTTATTTGTGGTGTTTTTTTTTTTTCAGAGAGAGAGAGAGAGAGGAAAAAACATTATTTTTAACAATTAAAAAAAAATTTTTAAATAATTTGTCCCGCGTCCCGAGGCGTTTTGTTTGGGGGGAAAGGGGGTTGATTTTTGTTTGTTTGTTTGTTTTTTTAGAGAGAGGAAAAAACATTATTTTTAATAATTTTTTAAAAATCTAACCATTTGTCCCACATCCCCCAGCGTTTTAAAAAAAGTCCCGATTTTTTAAAACGCTGGGGCACATGGGACTAATTGTTAAAAACCAGGATGTCTGGTCACCTTATGTTTGGGGGGTTTTGATTGTTTAGAGAGAGAGGAAAAAACATTATTTGTTGTTCCATTTCCAGCATTTATGCATTCATTGGTTGCTTCTTGTATGTGCCTGGGAATCAAACCCAGAAACCTTGGCGTATCAGATGCGCTAACCCAGTGGCAAACTCATTGGTCAACAAAGCCAAATATCAATAGTACAACGTTTGAAATTTTTTTTTGCGAGCCAAATTTTTTAAACTTAAACTTCTACTAACGCAACTTCTTCAAAATAGACTCGCCCAGGCCGTGGTATTTTGTGGAAGAGCCACACTCAAGGGGCCAAAGAGCCGCATGTGGCTCTCGAACCGCAGTTTGTCGACCACGGCTCTTACCAACTGAGCTACCTGGCCAAGGCAGTACAGTCATTTTAGAAAGCGACTTGGTAATATCTGTTAAAGTTTAAAATGTGTATAGCAGATGACCCAAAATCCACTCCTAATAATATATATATATATTCTAGGAAATTTTTCACATCTGTGCACAAGAAAACATGCTCAAGAATATTCATAAAAATGTTGAATAAATGCAAAAAAAGGGGAGGGAGGTAACTAAATGTCCACCAAAAAAGTACAGGTAACTAAGTTGTGGTGTAATTAAACAATGACATAATAAACAATATTGTGCCCTGGCCAGTATGGCTCAGTTGGTTGGGCATCCTCCCATACACCAAAAATAAAAATAAAAATGTTTTTCCCCAACCAGGGCTGGTGATTGAGCCTGCAACCAAGGTATGTGCCCTTGACTGACAATAGCACCTGTGATCCCTCTAACCACTGAGCACACTGGCCAGGGCAAGACTCTGAGCTTTTTTTTTAAATTATTTTTAATGTGTGTTTTTAATTAATTTTAAATATATATTTTATTGATTTTGTACAGAGGAAGGGAGAGAGATAGAGAGTTAGAAACATCGATGAGAGAGAACCATTGATCAGCTGCCTCCTGCACACCCCCTACTGGGGATGTGCGCACAACCAAAGTACATGCCCTTGACCAGAATCGAACCCGGGACCCTTCAGTCCCCAAGCCGATGCTCTATCTATTGAGCCAAACCGGTTTCAGCTTTTTAATCAATTTTAGAGAGAGAGCAAGGGAGAGGGAGAGATAGAAACATCCATGAGAGACAGACATCAATTGACTGCCTACTGCATGCCCTATACAGGGGATCAAGCCTGCAATCCTGGCATGAGCCCTCACTGGGAGTTGAACTGGTGACCTCTTGGTTCATAGGTCGACGCTTAACCACTGAGCTACACTAGCTGGGCAAGACTCTGAGCCTTTTACCTGAATATATGGCTGCCTATTTTTGCATCAGTCTATGATAGAATTGTAAGGACTTTACATGCTATTGTAGGACTTTAACTCAAAACTAATTATAGGGGTGGGCAAAAGTAGGCTTACAGTTGTTCATTGGAAAGACATGCAGTTATGATTTACAATAGCTTTATTAATTTAAAAGAATAAACCCTATTTCCTATACTTACAACTGTAAGCTTACTTCTGCCCACCAATATTTTGATGATATAAGTATCATCAAGATATTTGAACAGAAGAATGATAGGATCACAGTGTCTTATGGATTATTTTGTTACTATTGTCAACAGGGATTTACCTGCTCATCAAGAAAAAAAGTACAAGGCAAGGTATCTCTCCAATCAAAAATCTGGCTCAGCCCTAGCCAGTTTGGTTCATGGAATAGACATCAGCCTGTGGACTGAAGGGTTCCTTCCGGTCAAGGGCACATGCCTGGGTTGTGAGCTTGATCCGCAATAGGGGGTGTGCAGAAGGCAGTCAACCAATGATTCTCTCTCATCATTAATGTTTCTATCTCTCTCTCTCCCTCTTCCTTCCTCTCTGAAATCAATAAAAATATGTTTTAAAAAACCAATTATTAAAAAAAAAAAAAAAAAAAACTGGCTGCAAACTCTCCCCTAAGGCCAGAACTAAAGCTGCTTTACAAGTTGAGGAGACTAGGACACTGGATAACTGCCTGGGTAGCTCTCCTTTTCCTCATATTAAATTCTTCTAAATGTTTGGTTTTTACAGACAAGGAATGGGAAAGATAGGGATGGGATCTGATGAGAAAGTTCCAGATCCTGGACTTATGAGTCAGGATGCTGTGCTACTTCCACAGATGGTTTTTAATATACTTTTGCAGATGTTTTCTCATAAAACTTTGAGCGTCCTCATTGAAAAAGTATTTCAAAGCTTCAACTCATCCATAGCTATGGCCAAGAACATCCTTATTTATAACTTATGGAATAAACACACAGAGGTCCACAGATGTCACTATGGAAAGATGCCCAGTTAGAACTACTTTCCAAAACAGTACATGCGTGCAAGATAAAAAACTCAACTAGGGCCGAAACCAGTTTGGCTCAGCGGTAGAGCGTAGGTCTGCGGACTGAAAGGTCCCAAGTTTGATTCCGGTCAAGGGCATGGATCTTGGTTGTGGGCACATCCCCGGTAGGGGGTGTGCAAGAGGCAGCTGGTCGATGTTTCTCTCTCATCGATGTTTCTAGCTCTCTATCTCTCTCCCTTCCTCGCTGTAAAAAATCAATAAAATATATTTAAAAAAAAAAAAAAAACTCAACTAGGGAATACAAAATCTGTGTCCAGCTAAGAGAATAATGGTAATTTAAATTGGGCACAATTTTTATTTAAATTTCCCAACCATTTCATAAACCAGGTATTTGCTGTGATTTTGGTGAGCTTGGACTAATGGGGCTTATGAACAGTGTGCAATTCCTGCCCCACATCTTCTTAGAGAAGTTTCTTCTTGTTCAAAGAGATAAAGGTTATAAATTCCATCACCTTGCCTTTTTTTTTTAATATATATATTTTGTTGATTTTTTTACAGAGAGAAAGGGAGAGGGATAGAGAATCAGAAACATCGATGAGAGAGAAACATCAATCAGCTGCCTCCTGCACACCCCCCACTGGGGATGTGCCCGAAACCAAGGTACATGCCCTTGATCAGAATCAAACCTGAAACCTTTCAGGCCACAGGCCAACGCTCTATCCACTGAGCAAACTGGTTAGGGTTCACCTTGCCTTTTTAACTTCTTTTAAAAGCAGAGATAAGAAAGAGAATATTTTTTAATAGATAACTTAAATAGTTTTATGTGTCTTTTGTCTTCATTGGACATCCTAAGATGTTGACAAAGGGGAAAGTTATCTAGAAGAGTCCTCCTATGAGAGCTTGGCTAGGCCCCCAAGAATAAATGCCCTATGATAGAAACTGGAGTATAGAAAAGAGAAAAATCTCTATGACTTTTTCAAAGACCTTTATAAAAATTATGGAGAACAAAATCCTGTAAAACTTTCCTGTTGGTTTTTTTTTTTTTATTTCCTAAAATTCCTTACTATTCTTTCTCCCATATGATTAAAAACCAAAGTCCCAGTAAAAAACTAGAAAAATTCCCTGGCAAGTGGAATAAGAAAACTGAGACAAATGACCGAACAATTAGCTGGAATAGCTGAGCAATTAATAGTCAGCTGATGAATCATAAGACGGTTGTCCCCAACCAAAGACACCTAAGAACAGTGGTTTAAATCACTTTATTTTTTTTTATTTTTTTTAAAATATTTTATTGATTTTATACAGAGAGGAAGGGAGAGAGATAGAGAGTTAGAAACATCGATGAGAGAGAGTCATCAATCAGCTGCCTCTTGCACACCTCCTACTGGGGATGTGCCCGCAACCAAGGTACATGCCCTTGACCGGAATCGAACCCGGGACCCTTCAGTCCCCAAGCCGACGCTCTATCCATTGAGCCAAACCGGTCCCGGCTAAATCACTTTAGAAAGGGAGAAAGATAAAACACATACACACACATACACATACACACACAGAGACTAATCCACAATAGAGGTGAAACTAAGCAGAGAATAACCCTAAATTTCATTACACACTAATTTTATTTTTTAAATTTAATTCAAAGAACTTTTTATTTATTTATATTTTTACATTGATTTTAGAGAGCAAGGAATGGGGACAGAGAAAGAGAGAGATGGTAGAGGTAGAGGCGTACAGGCTCATTTTAATACATCAGCATACTAAATGACACACCCAGAAATCTACTAACTATTCTGTTGAGATCCTCCCCTGGGATGTCTCCTAAAATTCCCGCCTGTAGCAAATAGATAAAACCTGCCGAAGCCGGTTTGGCTCAGTGGATAGAGCAAGCCTTCGGACTGAAAGGTCCCGGGTTCGATTTCAGTCAAGGGCACGTACCTTAGTGGGGAGTGTGCAGGAGGCAGCTGATTGATGTTTCTCTCTCATCGACGTTTCTAACTCTCTATCCCTCTCAATTCCTCTCTGTGTAAAATCAATTAAAAATATATTTTTAAAAAAGTAGATAAAATCCACAGGACAAAGGACACCAGTGTGTGCTGCTCCTTGAGCATTCCCGTACCCCCTTTCCTCAGGTGTGTACCTATATTCTTCTAGCCTAAGCTCTTAGGTCGGATGAGACTTACACCCAGGGGA